AGCACTTCAATTTTTGGATTTTTTAATGCATTCTTCTAAGTGCAAAAAATCACTGAAGTTGGAGTACTTTTTCCGCTGGCCCACACATGGCTGAGTGGCAAAAATGGAAAATGTGCCGAATCAGCGCGGCGATTATTTCACGATCTCAAGGATTGTTTACAAATTTTCTGATATTTTCCTGGAAAACCCACGACCGATTTCCAGATTTTTCTGTGAACTCCTCTGAGCACAAAAAATCGTCAAAGTTGCCTCTTGCAAGTTGTGGGACTGGACCGGCCGGTACCCCCCGCCTTGGACAGCCTGCGCGCGGGACTCCAGACAACGCCTCCGCTTCTTACTTCTTTTTGGGGTCCGCTTCCACCTGACGACTGCGTTCCTTTTCCCAAAAGTCCCGGTTCTACAAGAGCTAGCTGTAGGTCGTCTGCAATCTCACCAAGGACAGGTCCCCCAAAATTGCCCCTTAAACCACCACTACCCCCGCCTCCCGAAATTCACCCTTCCTGGCCTTACGGGCCGCATCTCCCGGTAGGTCGGCGCCCAGTAGGCCGTAGTGGGCAGAAACCGTTTTTTTTCTTTTTCTTTTGGGACTTCCCGTGGTAGGCGGGGGGAAGATGACTGCCCGTGGCACAAATGAAAACCGCCGTTTTTCTTTGCGTCTGCGGGCGGGAAACTGCTGCAAAGAAAGAAAGAACCGACAAAAAAAAAAAAAAAAAAACGGAAACAAAAATCCCCTTCAAAAAAAAAACACCAAAAAAAAAAAAAAAAAAAACAGAAATCACTTCGGCCGGGGCCAACTCCCACTACCAGCGTTGAGCTACCTCAACGCCTGAATCTGGACGTGTTTGTGGAGCTGTGCAGTTCAGGAAACTCAACACCATTTCTGCACATCTCCACAAAAGCGTCCAGGTTCAGGGGTTGACGTAGCTCAACGCTGCTAGTGGGACTTGGCCCCGGCCGAAGTGATTTCTGTTGTTTGTTTTTTTTTTGTGTTTTTTTTTTTTCCCGACATGTGCATATTGAGAGTGAATCTTCCGCTACAACTTTTTTTTTTTTTGAGAATCAAATTATTATATGGCTGTCCCCGCGGGCCAAGTCCGATAGCAGCGTCGAGCTTCCTCCACGCCTGAATCTGGACGTGTTTGTGAAGAGGTGCAGAAAATCACACCTTTTTTTTTTTTTTTTTGTACACTGCCATAATTTTCTGTGCCGCGACGGCGGCTCTCTCTCTCTCTCTCTCTCTCTCTCTCTCTCTCTCTCTCTCTCTCTCTCTGTGCGCCGCAACGTCCGCTTCCCCTCTCTCTCTGCGCCAGGATGTCCGCTTCCTCTCTCTCTCTCTCTCTCTCTCTCTCTCTCTCTCTCTCTCTCTCTCTCTCTCTCTCTCATGGGCCTCGCACCACTACCCTCGAAATGTGCAAATAGAGAGTGAATCTTTCACTAGAACATGGAAAGATACACCGCCATGAGTTGTCTTCTATGCTTGTCGAGAGTAGTGGAGCGAGGCTCAATATGGCGGCCTATCTTCCCATGTTCTTGCGGAAGATTCATTGTAGAGCGAGCACTACGGCAGTAGTAGAAGTAGGCCAGATAAAACATGAACTAATAAAAACAAAAAAAAAAGAAGAACCAGGGGAAAAAAAAAAAAAGTGCAGACTTCCGTGCAAAAGAAAAGATAACGAACTGCTACAGAGGCTGCGACCTTTTCGGGTGCTGCGTCCTGCAAAAGAAAAGATAACGAACTGCTACAGAGGCTGCGACCTTTTCGGGTGCTGCGTCCCCCCCCCCCCGGGGACAACTCGGGAGACCTGAGACGGTGGCGGGACCACCACACAGCTACCGGTAGGCCAAAAGCAGAATCCACAATTTGGCCTACCGGTCCCCCCGAATTTTGGACGGCGGGGGTAGTGGTGGTTTAAGAACCCACTTGCATCCTCGTCGCCTGCCGCTGAAAATGCGACACCTTGACACGGACGCTGAAGCCCACTATACCGCAACCTTAGGGCTGCGAATTGGAAATCGGAAAAGAGAGAGAGAGAGAGAGAGAGAGAGAGAGAGAGAGAGAGAGAGAGAGAGAGAGAGAGAGAGAGAGAGAGAGAGAGAGAGAGAGAGAGANAGAGAGAGAGAGAGAGAGAGAGAGAGAGAGAGAGAGAGAGAGAGAGAGAGAGAGAGAGAGAAATACTTTAAAAGTCCTCTCCACCCCCAAAAAACAAAACAAAACAAAAAGTCCACTGCACACATCCAGCACCTGGCTGAATGGTACATCTATAAACCTTTGATAAGCAGACCTTGGAAAGAGTGCCCCTCCCGTCTTTCTTTCTTCCCCCCCCCCCCCGTCTGGAGGGAGTCGTGATGGAATCAAACACGTTAAGTAACCCTTGAATTACCTGAGGCAAGGCCCCACTAGCCAACAGGATTGGATTTACTGGGGCAAGTCCCCACTAGCAGAGAGGATTGGATTTAATGGGTGAATGTGGACGTGTTTGTGATGAGGTGCAGAAAGCCAGATCAATCACGATTTTATGCACCTCCCCAAAATAGCGTCACATCGCACGTTAAATCCAATCCTCTTTGCTAGTGGACCCCGCCCCTGGGGCCGGTCACTTCGATGATGGTATTTCTTTCTCTTTTTTTTTTTTTTCTTTCTTGGAGAAAGCGAGATAGTGCTGTTGCCTAGCCCATGTTGCTAAACGGTACCCCCATTAACCCTTGAAAAAGGGGTACCGGAGTTCTCTGAAAACAAAGAGAAAAGAGAAAAAACAGACCTGAGTCCAAGTCCAGCCCTGGCAGAATCAGACATGTAAAGTAACTCCAACTTACCTGGAGCGATCAGTTCAATGGTGACAATGGGCCTCACTCCACTACTCTCCATGTGCACAAAAGACAAAAAATATGGCGGTGTATCTGCCCATGTTCTAGTGCAGATTCATCCTCATTTCAACACATTTGGCGAGTAGTGGAGCGAGGCCCAATGTCCGTGACATTTTTATTTCTTGATTTATTGGAAATAGTAGGACTACGAGGAGTGTCCAGGTCAATGGACTGATGGCACCAGTGATTTCGCTGCAATGGTCGGTCTGCCAAGGAGAACCCTTGGTCATCATTGTGATGGAGGCATTGGCGGCGAACCTCCGTACTAACAAAGCCCTTAGGAAATTACAGATCTCTGCCATCCCCGAGGCAGCGATCCCCGTATGTTCGATGTTCGCGGATGACTTGACGATTATGGTGGACGCCACCCCCGAGAATATGGAAGAGATTAAGCAATTGCTGGATCGATTCACGACAGTCTCGGATATGAATGTCAACTGGGGCAATAAAACACTTGGATGGTGGATCCACCACCAAGGATGCGTCCGCCGGAACAGCCGCGGGTTAAATGGCTACCGGAAAACGCCCCGGTCAGAGTATTGGGCATAATGCTGACGACATCGGGGAAGCCGGCATCGAATGACGAGTGGATCCTCAAACCAGCGCTGGAAAAATTGACACGCTGGAATGACAAGCACACATCCTTGGTCGGTAGAGCACTGGCAATCAACAATGCGGTGCCAGCAGCCCTCTGGTATAGATCTGCACTTTGGGCCCTCAGTAAAGAAGCGGTTAGAACACTCAAGAGACAAACCACCGCCCTGCTATGGAGAGGCAACAGTGAGCTTCCAAACGTTATAAGCAAGGTGGCCTGGTCATCGGTGATTCAACCCAAACATAAAAAAGGCTTGGCCATCCTCGACCCAGACACCCAGGTGGCCGCGCTGATGGTGCAATGGATAAGAAGACTGATATTTACGCCAGAACTTCCCTGGTACACCCTCGCACTAGAACAAATTGCTAGATTGGCACCACACGCGCCATGAGGAGTGGATCCCCTGACCTGGCTAGAGGACCGATACTGGCCCATTCCACGGCACCCTCGGGTTGACAGGGACTCCACCAGGGGAGCAGCGAGGAGTGACCTGGGGCCAGAGAGACGATTTCTGGCCCCGGGTACTGAAGGCCTGACGCCAACTACCTCTGCCAGAGAAAACCACGCCAAACAGATGGAAAGAGGTGATGAGCCAACCCCTCTTTGGCAACAGAAATATCACTGACAGAAATGGCATGGGACCATCCGCCCTATCTGGTGGTTTTCAACCATGAGATCTAAACCGGCCAAATTTGTCTCGCTGCAGTGGCAGATAGAACACCGTTGTCTCCCGACAAATAATTGGCTGATAGACCGCACGTTCCTGGAGCAGAAGGGCCTGGCGCTCCCCTGGTGCAAATCTTGCCATAACGCCTTCCCCTCCCGTAAGATCCCCGAGACCATAGAACACATCTTCCTACAGTGTCCAGGGGCGGTCCTCACTTGGCTCTGGTGGGATAGGATATGGAGCCTCCTGGGCACCGGATCGACTTGGCCATGGGATTGGAGGGCGCTGTTCTGTGAAGCATGGACCTCCCCCATGGACAGCGATTTCGAAAACAACATGTTCCAGCTCGGGAGGAGAGCGGTTATTTGGGCGCTTTGGAGGAAGCGCTGCACACATGCCATCGAAGGAGTCCGCGTGGAAGGAGAAGAAGTAACGGAAATAATAAAGCAGTATATACAGCAAGAACTCCTCTCAAGATGGCAGAAGGTCAAAAACCAATTACAGACATATCACTCAAAGAACGATATCCAACAGGCAATCAATCAATTTTTTAGGGGCTGGCTGGGTAGCGAAAAAGGGGGCTGGATTGCCCATATCCGATGGGAGGGTGGACAGTCCCCCGAACAGGAGCAGGTCGACTCCAGGAGAGACTATTGCATCTGCTTCAAGGAATGGACTAAAGTGGACCAAGGAGTGCCGCTGCGCTCACCTGCAGAGTTCCTGGACCCGTTCCCTCCCCATCAACTGTCACTGGTGGATATGCAATGGTATGGTGCAGAATAGGCGCAACTGCTTTGAAGAGCCTTTGGGAGGGTTTAGGGCAGTTCTGTAATGTAGACTGACGCACCTTTTGGAGGGCTTAGGACTGTTAGTGGAAACCCATAGAGATCAATAGTTGCAGTTTGCTCTGGAGATACATGTAATAACTGACAGCCACACAGCGGAGAGGAGCAACCAGCACCGGATTAGGCACACAAAGCCATACAGAGGAGTAGCTACAACAGGCTAACTTAGGCAGGGGTGAGGGGTAGTACATCCTTCCTTTCGGAAGTAATCAATGCCGTCCACTCGGGCCTTCCAACCATAATGGGGAGGAGCGTGGGGTGAGTCAACCTTGTACTTTCCATTGACTTGCCGGGGGAATAGGAATCGGACTGTTGCTCCCCAGAGTGCTAGGAGCCAGAAACAAGAGGTTATGATTAAAAAAAAAAAAAGAAAAAAAAAAAGAAAAAAAAAGAAGAAGGATAATGCCGTAAAGCACATTGGAGTTCTCTCTTTTAGGGGCAAGTTCTCTCTGGTTTCGTTTCGGGGCAAGTTCTCTCTCTCTCTCTCTCTCTCTCTCTCTCTCTCTCTCTCTCTCTCTCTCTCTCTCTCTCCCCCCTCCCCCCCCCCTCCCCCCCCAACAAACCTAGTGCCCCACAGCCCAAGCACCAAATGGTCAGTGCCACCCAGACCGCAAAATGCAACCCAGTGCAGATAGCACCACCGTGTGCTCCTTGTTTCTGTGCCATATAAGGGTCATGCGTGTTTGTGTGTGTGCGCATGTATCAAATACATCTGCCTCAATCCCTGCATGTTCTTTCCCCATCGTATCTGCTGTGTTTCGTTTTGCCATATGAGAATTGTGTGTTTGTGTGTGTGTGGATGAGTGGGTGTTTCGGGTACATCTGCCTTTCATCCCTCATGTGCTTCCCCGATCCTGTCCACTCTCACCCCCGGCCCCCCCTCCCCCCCTCCACTCTCCCTCTCCCATGCATTTGTTCAAAACACATGCACGTGCGTGGAGAGAGAGAGAGAGAGAGAGAGAGAGAGAGAGAGAGAGAGAGAGAGAGAGAGAGAGAGAGAGAGAGGAGCTTGCATAGCAGCGCACCCACCCGCATAACACCATGCTCAGCCCACACACTACCATGCCCAACTGAAGATACTACTGCAGCCAGCTCACATGATACACATTGCCCCCGCCCAGGCCGCCCATCGGACTGCACGACTTGACACACAGTGGGACACCCAACCTACATAGCACTACAACCAGCCCGCATAGTACCACATTGATTCCACAAAGTGCTGCACCCAGCCCACATAGCACTGCATGACCCACCTCACATAGTACGATACCCAGGAGAACCCTCCTTCCCCCTCTCACCTGTGCCGTGTGTGAAGCTGCAGCACACAACCGCTCGTTACCTTATCTTTTCCTTCATTTGTAGTTTGGTCTACTATACTATGAGCCCGGATGGTTGGAGTTAGTGGGCTGGTACAGGAGTCAGGGAAGGGATAGGAGGCAGGGAAGGAGGGAGAGAGGTAGGGAGGGAGTGGAAGACAGGCGAGGGAGGTAGGAAGGGGAAGCGACGGACTGAGTGAAGCGAAGGAGGTCCGTAGGGAGAGAGGAAGGGGTGAGGAAGGACCAGAAGAGAAGAGGCAGGAGGGCCCGATGGAAGGGAGGGAGGGAGGGAGGGAGGGGGGAAGGCAGAAGGGAGGAATGGAGATAGAAAGGGAGACAGGGATGAACAAATGAAGGCAGGGATGGAAGAATGATGGGAGAAAGGGAGGGAAGGAGGAATGAATGAATGAAGGGAGGGAAAGAGGAATGGGGGGAGAGAGGGAGGAGCGAGGAGGGAGGAATGAATGGATGCATGAATGAAGGACGCAAGGGAGTGAGGGAGCAAGGAACTCAAGAGGGCAGAGGTAAAGAAAGAACGGAAGAAAGATAAGGAAAGGAAGGAAGGAAGGAAGGAAGGAAGGAAGGGAGGGAGGGAGGAAAGAAAGAGGAGAGGGAAGGAAAGGAAGAAAGCAAAGGAAAGGAAAGAAAAGAAAAGAAAGGAAGGAAGGAAGGAAAATGAAAGAGGCAAGGTATAAAAAAAGGAAGCAACGAAAAGAAAGACGAAAGGACAAGAATGACAGAGGAGAGGACAGACAGAAAGCAAGGTAAAAGTTGGGCAAAAGGAAAGGAAAGAAAGCAAGGTAAAAAAAAAAAAAAAAAAAAAAAAAAAAGAAAAAAAAAAGAAAAGGAAAGAACAGAGGGTAAGAGAGAGGAAGAAAGAAGGAAGAGAAAGGAAACAGAAAAGAAAGCAAAGGAGCCCAAGCGGGCTAGTTCAGTTGGTTGAGCACGTAAGTGGCACTCAGGAGGTTGTGGGTTCGATTCCCGACATCGTCCTTTCGATTCCCACGGCCTCCTGGGGGTATACTTCCGGTCTTCACCAGCAGAGATTGTCGGCTTTGGGCCTCCTGGCTGGTTAGGGAACGTTCTTAAGGCCTACGCCAGGTGTTAGCAGCCTGGGCACTGCTCCCCGCACTGAGCAGAGGGTGGTAGACATAGACCCATAACCGTAGGATAGCTTAGCTTAGGTGAGGGTATTTAAAAGCGGTTCTTGTGTCCAATTATTAGGCATAGAGTAGGTTGTTGGCTACTTTCCCTAGTCCATAGTCTCTTGGCCTGCTATCTGCGCTTGGGAGTGTCTGGTGCCTGGCGGTCTCAGGTTGAGGTGCTGGGTTGCCTTGGGTGGACAGGTCGCACACTGAGATAAGCAGGTAGGCAAAAAGAAAGTAGATAGAGTAAAGAAGGTAAGACATTGAGAGAAGAAAATAGGGCAACTAAATACAGTTGTCCCCCATGTGAGGAGAAGACAGACTGTAGTTCAAAAAAAAAAAAAAAGAAAAAAAAAAAAGAAAGGAAGAGAAGAGAAACAAAACGAAAAGAAAGAAAAGAAAGAGAGGAAATGGAGGAGGAAGAAGAAGAAAGGGCAATTTCATTAACATTGACACCGCTCTCAAAGGCTTGAAACTGAAAGCAAGTGGGCACAAATTGTTTGGTGGAAGAAGAAGAAGAGAGTGGGAGAGGAGGAGGAGGAGGAGGAGGAGGAGACAGGAGAAGCAAAGGAGGAGAAAGAGAGGGAGAAGGAGACCGAGAACACGAAGAGGAAGGAGGAAGGAGGGAGGAGGAAGAGGAATGGACGAGGAAGGAGGAAGGAGGAGGAAAGAGGAGGAAGTAGAAGGAAGGAGGAGAAGGATGGGGAGGAAGACAAAGGAGAAAGAGGAGGAAGAAGAAGAATGTTGAAGAAGAGAGGAGGAGGAGGAGGAGGAGGAGGAGGAGACAGGAGAAGCAAAGGAGGAGAAGAAAGAGAGGGAGAAGGAGACCGAGAACACAAAGAGGAAGGAGGGAGGAGGAAGAAGAATGGACGAGGAAGGACGAAGAAGGAGGAAGTAGAAGGAAGTAGGAGAAGGATGAGGAGGAAGAGGAAGGAGGAAGAGGAAGAAGAAGAAGAAGAAGAATGCTGAAGAAGAAAGATGCTGATCTCTCCTTCAAACAACTCTGATGTCACCGGCTTGACGTAAAATTACGCTGAAAGCTACCAACGATGAACAGACACTCAAGAAATGAAATCCGCCGGAAGCAAATACTTCGGACTCTAAACTTTCAGTTCTCTCTTAAGATCTCAATCCTACCACAGGTCATTCTTTGAAAGCAGTGAATTGATCTAAAAAGACAAAAAAAGAAAGGGAAAAAAAAAGAGATCTAAGAATGACCTGTAAGGGTTAACTTCTGCGCCGCCAAAAATAACAGAGATCCCCACTGAACCTGCTGATCAATACCCATTCGGGAGTCGAACCCAAATAGAACGCTTGGTGTACAATGAATCACCTCTCACAGTTGGAAATCAACACAGGTGGACTACCACCTACCTTCACCCAAATAGAACGCTTGGTCAGTATAGCTGTATCTGTATCTGGGCAATTTCAGATCTAGATACAGCGATAACGACCGGGGGGTCTATTCGAGTGAAGACAGTAGTAGTAGGAACTTGGACGCAGATCAACCTCCTCCTTCAGCTCCGCTGTCAGTATAGCTGTATCTGTATCTGGACAATTTCAGATCTAGATACGGCGATAACGACCGGGGGGGTCTGTTAAAACCACCATAGCACACACGGGCTTGGAGCCGCTGCACTGTGCGCCAATTTTTTTTTTCCGAACCGCCAGCGGCGCACTTTTTTCCTTCCTTCTTTGGCTGGTGCAGCCAGCCACGCGCACCCACACCCGAGGCGTGAAAATTTCGGGAGTAGGCGAGATGAGCAAATCTCCACAAGGGCTGGGGCCGTGTACGAGCAGTTTAATCGCTGCTATCTCTTGCACAAGGCCTGCAACAGGCAGGAGAGAGCAAGTCGCCAGCTCTCTTCGGATTTCTTTTTCCCAAACGCCTCTGTCAGTGTACGGCGCATTAATCTATGGGCTGAAATTTCAGCCATTAAAACTGCCAGTACATGGCTCCAGCCTTGGGTCATCTGCCTATGTCCCTGCTAACCATGCACAAGCAACAGGCATGGCAGGCTGGCTCTCTTACTTCCTTGGGTCCCTCTGCCTGTAGTGCAACAATTCCTTCTCTACTATGTCTAGAGGAAAAACTTGCACCGGGAAACTACTCATCATGAAATGCACGCACAAGCAAACAATCCACCATCAAAAGTTCAAAACTAGAAAAAAATAAAATAAAAAAAATCACCATCAAAACAAACAATTCACCATCGAAAAAAATAAAATAAAAAAAATCACCATCAAAACTGTCAAACAGTCCTCTGGGATTGCGGGTTTTCGGCGATACCTCTCGCAAACCTGCCGACTCAGTGCCGAAGACGAGCATAAGAGATTGCCACAGGTTTTTCCAGCGACCCTCACTCTTCGATTCAGTTTCCTCCTCTTTGCTCAATCAGTCTGCTTACAGTCTCTTGCCTGAGCAAGGAGCAAATGTGGCGCACAAGCCAACCTGTTGTTGGTCAGCAGATACAGACACCGCTGCCTTGTCAGCAAACAACTTACTTCAGGAAGAGCGATTCGTGGTCTTCGAGACTCGAGTTGGCGAAGGCTGCGAAGGCCTGCCAGATACGAACTGTGTTGAACACAACACAAATCGGTCGTCAAGTTTCGGTTACCGAACGGTTGTTCTAGGCGCTTGGTGCACGCTCTCTTTAGGGCATTTTCACACTAGCACTTTTTTCCAGTTCTCTGTGGATGTAATTGCAGTCAGGCGCATCCGGGCCGTGTTGGAAAAGCTGTCACATACATCCAGGGAAGTCCTAGTGTGAGTATCCCTTCGTGAGCCATGAGCCTCCTGACAAGGAGAAAACTTTATCTTATGCCTATCCTCCTTTGCAAGGAGGCTTCCACATCCTCTCTCTCTCTCTCTCTCTCTCTCTCTCTCTCTCTCTCTCTCTCCCCCCCCCCCTTGTTGAAATCCTTGGCTGAGGGATTCAAATCACATCCATCAATAACCTGCTGCTGCTAAGTGACACAATCCAAGCCACCACTCTTTATGATGACCGGCGATCATATTCTGTAAGGGAGGCGACCAACAAGACTCTGCTGTGATTAGGGACATGAAAAACACCCTCCCAAGAGCATCACCAGAACGCAGCATACACCCGCAAGCAAGCCGATTCGAACCCCCGACGAGCAAATTAGGGACATGTACGGTAGGGGACCAACAAGACCCTGGTCTGGCGGATAAGCTTGAAGAAAGCAGATGTAGATAGACGACTGTCAGAAATGGGTACGAGGGGTAGTGTCACAGGGGTTCCGACCCTTTGACACTACCCCTCATACCCTACACTGCTCCTCACAGGATTCAAACCGCGGGCGTGCAAATTATGATTGCACTGTTCGAGCCTACTGAACTGACGAATGGACGACCGGAGGGCCAGAGCGACCAACCTGCAGTCTGATCATACGCAAGATCACAAGCGTCTGTCAGTCCCTTTTCCTCTTCAGTGAAGGATCCATCTTCCTGATGGTGACCATTCTCAAGGCATCCACAGCCTCGTGTCCTTCTTCACCTAAAACAACCGACCTGCCCACTGATTGCGGAAGCAATGCGTCGCAGGTCCCAGGGAGCTTTATCTGTTGCAGCTGAGATGCCACCAAGGGGTCCAGAGGTTTCTGCATGGCAAGGTACAAAAATTTCAAAACCATCAGAAGTCCAAATTTCCAAAAGAGGAAATATATTTCCGCAACCCACACATCACATCATCCATGGGAGTAGGTGAGCCCCTGCTGGTCATTACGCAGACACAAACTCAGGATGTTTGTAGACAAGGACGCAGGCCACGTCCATCCTGTCATCCATGCCCTTTGTGGCATGCAGTTATTCATTCATTGAATTTTATTCCCTTTTGTACTGGGCTACTAGCCGGGCCGCCCGGGTCACCTTGTCTTCCTGGGGGGGCCGGGCGTGCAAGGACCAGGGAAGGTCCCAGCAAGCAAAAAAAAAAAAAAAAAAAAAACAAATGGAAAAAACTATGTTACGCAGAAAAATAAACTCAACAACTTTTGCCTCAG